TTTTTCATTTTTAGTCAATTCGGCACCACAACCTTCATTAGCCGCTGTGACTCCATAAATTCAATTTAGGGGCGTTGCTTTGAGATCGTGCAATCATGAAACAAGAACTTTAACCGTACCCTCCACCTATACATACCAAAGCTACAAATTAGAACCAGTACATTCAAGTAGTGTAGACTTAGCAACTTGAAAAGAAATACCTTGGGTACGAAATATAGCCCTTATTGTAGAGCTTCTCGGCTATATCCATGGCCTGTTTAGCACTCATCTTCAATTTCCGTACAGCCAGCTTCTCCAGTTGCACGGTGTCCATCGGCTGAATGACAATGTGTGGAAAGACTCATTATAAGAGCTCACTGTACAACGAGGAATAAACAAACCTGTGGTCGATAATTTGTCTTCGGTTTACTCGTGACGCTCTCAATTTTTGCCCCTCTCGCATCCATACAGTCATCGTATAGAATCTAAGCCCAGAAAGTCAGTCACACTAGGAAATCCCTGACTCGCACTAACCTGAACGATATCTTGGTCGAACAGACGGACACGGTCCCATGAGAACTCGGCCTAAATAATGAGAAATGATTATCACTGGGAGAACGCCCAAACTCTATTTGTTATCAAACTACGATCATCCTACTAGAAAATCAGACTCCTCAGTTAGTCGTAAGGTCAAAATACTCGAATAAATGAAGGATAACAATCTCTTTTGGGCCGCAAGCGCACAGGTCTGAGGCTCACAACGCGTGACGAGGGCAGTAAGCGATCATGACTCACACCGACGCACAGCCAAGCATCAATGTACTCCTGCCGTGGCGCATGCGTTGGCGTCTGCGTCTTTCCTATCCACCATGCTCTCTCGTCTCTTTCATATTCTGTTCTTACATCTCGGCTCCTGGCGTCTCTCACAATGCCTGTCTACTATAACAGACCTCCACTCCACTCAAAAAAGATGCTTTTATTTTCACTTTTGGCTGTTTCTTTTCTTTTTCGTCATTGTCAGTCTCACGTCGCACCACCATTTGAGGGGTAAAAAGAGGGAGTCCTATTTCTCGTTCCTAGACGTTTCTCATTGGTTTTTCTCATCGTATTTGCTCCACCACACCCGCACCCCGCACCGTTGAATTTCTAAATGAGGCTGTCCTTTCATCGTAAGCCCTGCTTTAACCAAAGACGACAACTCCGCAAAACTACGTAATGCTGCAGCCACGGGGGGAGGGGGGGGTCGACCGGAGGTGCGAGAGGGGCGGCGGGGCAGGGCGCGTGGAAGGACACGGGTAGCGCATGGGAAGTCTTCATTCAACATTCATGGTTGTTACGAAATCGGCTCCCAGACAATACCTAACCATTTGGGCGCGGCCGCGGCGAACGCGGCCGAGTTGATAGGTGCCCGCGAACTCAGCACAGCACAGTTCGCGGGCACCTCGAGTGCGTTTTCAACGGTTCGCGGGCACAATCGACTCGGCCGCGTTCGCCGCGGCCGCGCCCAAATGGTTAGGTATTGTCTGGGAGCCCCCACGCGCCATGCCCCATTAATCCGATTTTTGGCGTTTCATTTTATAGTACAACAATAGCCGCAATTACATAATAGGGTTCACAGATTGGCCACAAAGATTTTTGTTTAGCAAGTCTGCATGGCCGCGAAATACATACGAAGCTCGTCAAAGTGTAAGAGCGCGTTTCAGATGAAATAGGCACCGGCCCATTCATGAATTCAAGTAGAGGAAGTGGTACAGGGATGAAGATAAAACGCCCTCCTCAACGCTAACGCTCTCTCTCTCTCTCTCTCTGCTGAAGGGCTAGACCCAGACGGCGAGGGGTGGGCGGCAGGCGTATATAGCAGCCCAGGTGACCATGCTAGATCGCCAGGGCATATCTTCACTATGAATTGTGTGTTTGCCCGCTGGGATATCCACGTATTTCCACCGCTAGCATTTCCCTTTCCACGACCCCCACCCTTACCGTGGGGATGGCTCCTTTGAGGATCTGATTGTCGATGAACTCCTTTGTCTACCCCCATGGTTGGATAATATTTTGATTTTCCTTTGTTTTTAACTGTTCCAATACTTATTAAATTCGCTGCTGTTGCTGCACCTGTGCACAATGTAGTGGGGGGGGGGGGGCTCGAAGTGAAAGCTGCGGAAAGACACTCATATCTAATCAAAGTAGAGTTGCGGGAAGGCACTTATATCTTATCATATCTTCTCTAAGACCGTGGCCACTGGACTAGTACGCTTACTCCTGTCATATTGGTCTAGGGCTAAAATGGCTGCTACCCTGCTGGCTCCTTCCTTTCATCAAACCTTCTTGCGACTGCCATACAAACCCTCGAAGAAAGGGCCTCCCAGGTATCCGATTTTGTATGGCACGGATTGGTATCCCTATCTAATCATACACTCAGAGACTGTGCTCCGGATGGTGATTAGATATGACCGCCCTACCGCAGCTCCACTTCGATATTGCCAGTTCGATTAGTATACTTATGAGTGCCCCCCCCCCAACTACATTTCACCCTGCTGCACCTGTGCACAACAAATAAGGAGCAAACAAGTAAATAATCAACGAAGAGGTCCGCAAGAGAAAAAGCACGAGAAAGCAACTTATCCAACTTATCCAACAAATTAATTTCAACTGAACTCCTTGTCCTCCCTTCCCTTACTGATGAGCACAGAGGGAGGAGACTTTACTTGTTTAGTCTCCGTCTAAGGGTCACGTGCGAAACGGAGACTAAACGACTTCTTTGCTCACCACCCCTTCAAATATATGTGAACTCTATGTCCTCCCTTCCCTTACTGATGAGCACAGAGGGAGGAGACTTCACTTGTTTAGTCTCCGTCTAAGGGTCACGTGCGAAACGGAGACTAAACGACTTCTTTGCTCACCACCCCTTAAATATATATGAAAAAATTGAAGAATATCGTTAAAATTTCGGTTTAAACATCGTAATCAAGATAATAATAAATAGATTAGTTTGATTCAACTTGTTCTCTATTATAAACATAATAACTTCATTGCCTTACAAAGCGTGCAACTTCAGGCCGTCAAAAATTATATAATAAGAGCACGTGACCGATTGCGCGCTTCATTCAGTATCCAATTTTCGAATATTGCTACCTCACGATCCCCTCCCTTCAGAAATGCACATCCCCGAATCACACATGTGCGGATCGTTTAACGGAAGTGTATGTATATGCACATTTCTAGCAGCGCGTTTGCGAAGAAAAAGCCTACCAATGGCTTACACATCGGTCAGATCGCTCAAACACATTTGAGGAAGTGTAGTTTGCCCACACCCTCAACGCAACCCCAGATGCTAAGCCCATTCGCATTGTCACCAAACAGCTCTTCCGTTATGCTGTTTTCAAGGCTTTGTTGTCCATCACCTGATGATGTCCTGCCTTCCTCTACGTTTACTCCCTATCTTTACTGATCGATCGCTTGTCATGTTAGCCTTTTAGGCAAAACGGGACCGAACTGATGTGTTGCGCTTGCAAGTGACAGTGGAGATGTGCAGTGTAATGTCAGCTATGAAAAACGGGATGAAACCATCGAAAAGGCCGGAAATAAAATCCTCTCTCCGTTGGCAGCGAAGCTAAATAGCACTGATTTGTAGGCGGGGCCAAAGCTGCATCCTAGGGCCTTAGCGCCTCAGCCTTGTCAATTCATTCCGAAGGTTGTGGTTCTTGCTTCCCACTCGCGGATCGCTGCACTTTTTTCGGGGAAAAGGCAAATTTCCATCAGAAATCCCGGACCTTGCCTTTTAGCCCGTAAGAGGCGCTCCGTGAGTCCTTTCGCGAACCCCTTTCCACTTCTAACACATGGATTAAAAGATAGTACGCTGTTGGGCATACTCTACAACTATCAGGGACATTCGTCTTTCGTTGACTATTATGAGGTACACAACCCTAGGTGACCTTTCAGATCTCCTCTTATTATGTTCCACCACAACGAGTTCCAGAACGTGCTGCAGTGCAAAATCTTTCGATAGCCTTGTACCTGTTCCCACCACAAATCCGAGGTACGTTGGGAATACACGCAACCCATAGCTGTGACCGACTTGTTTACCGAAAATGCTTGTATACCATTAGGTCTCACTGGTAAACGACCGAGCCGAAAAAAAAATTCTGCATTCTTACCATCTGGAACAGCAAGTTAGGGCTTGGCAAATTGCTGCGTAAAGCAGAGTTTGCAACGCGCAGTGAATGCTGCTCCTCTAACCATAGATAGAATTCCACTAACCAAGGCCTATCGAAAAAGGAGGGCGACGCTCCTACTAGGCCAGAAGGGGAGGAACTTTGGGGAAGACATGAAGAACTGGGCCGGTCAACCTGGAGATGTTTATTCTTGGACCTGAACCTTTGAAACGAAAAAAAAATGTTAGCCGCGGTCTTGGATGCGTTACCGCCGCAACCCTGCCTCCCCCCTCCCAAGCCATTTGCTTTCGTGCTAGAATAGCAATCGAAAATATCAACGCTCTGCTATGCACTCCGTTGAGACCCTTTGGAAAACTTGTTTTTACTGGAACCTATACCCTTCAGAAAGCGTTCTTATAGCTTCATGCATTCAATTGTTCGAAGCTGCAGAATTACCTCAAAACCCTACGAAGTTGCTCCGAAGCTTGCACAAGTTTGGTACCAAGTGGACCGAACTACACAGATGGAAAGCACGGCTGGACTGAGCGGTCATCTATCTACGGGCAGGATAGGTAATAAGAGCATCTATTCTGACGCATCATCTCAGTTAAGGAAATATTGATCAAAAAGACGAACTCTTAAACAATGGTGTCGATCAACTTGTGATCAAAGGCACGCCCCGGACCATGGGTGTGGTTTTAAAGCACTGGTTTAAACTGGGCCGTCTGGAAAGGAAAAAAGAAGATTACGTCAGACGTTAAAATTGACGGTTTGCTCCCTTTTGTGCTAAGACAATGTAACTGAGCATGATGAAGAGAGGATGGACGAGAGAGCAAAACGAATGAGAAAGTGCCAGACACCAGCATGCCATGGGCCAAAAAAATGGAAGCGGTCGCAGCGGCTCTGCAAGGTCCTAGCGCCCACTTCCCAGCCGTAAGACAGTACCTCCGACCTTCGCGAACGCTCTGCCCTACCCATCAAATGGATTCATCCACCTGAACTCATCCTGGATTGTGTTTTCATGCCTGTTCCTTCCTCGCAGACAAATCTGCTACCAATTGAGGCCCCTTTCATACTTTGCGCCGAGCGAACGTCAGCACGCGTCATGCGCCACAACGTCATCACACGCTTTGGCGCATGATGCGTACTTGCCGCACCCGGTGCCCTTCCATCGGTAAATTCCACTCTCAATGCATTCTGTCATCTTTTGATGCGCTCTTTAGAATCGGAGCGAGGGATAACTATAAAGTGTGTGTGCAGCATAAAGGTACATGCACCATTGGAAGCAGTAGTCAGGGAGCCTAAGGAAAGCGAAATGTGCGTTTTTGTGGCCAAAGGTGCGCTAGTTGCAGCGTACAAGGCTTGCCATTCCTTTCTGAGCTCCGCCTCCGCCTGTCGCTCC